AGAGAGAAATGCGACCAGAAACAGGATTGCATAAAAAAAACTGAAGTTTGAAATCAATTTGCAGGGGCCTGCTTAACCCCTATGCACAAATACTGTACATTAAAAGCGAACTGCAGGTCCAATGATTTGTTCTTCGAAATGCACATATTAATTGTATTTTTCCTAGCTCCAGTTCTATCTTGCAATGATTGCAACAAAATTGCATTAGGCAGTGCTGCAGTGCAAAATTGGTTTTATAGCATACTTATATCCGCAACAAGGCACTGCTCTATAGTAAGAGCTACAAAATTAAACAGGAGGGTTTTGTTATATTATCTATTGGTGTTATTATCAGCGGTCATTAACCACACAGCTCTGTAGTGATGAACGTGCACTTTATTAACACAGTGTTCTTTAACTCTTACAACACTAACTCAGTCATTGCCTAGCCAGCTGCCCCTCAATCTACTACTCTATATATATACTATTTACATATTCATGTACTGCGTCATCTGTGCAGTACGGCAAACCCGTAAGGACCACACTCTGCCAATATCCTTACCGGTTTGACCACTTATACAGAAATATGCCGATGAAAAGAAGGTGTAGACAGCCTGGGTATGAGAACTGAAATTACTCTTAACTCCAGGCGCCTCCAGAGGCAGAAATTCTGAGCAGCACGCTGTATAAGTGCAGTAAAGCTCTCACCAATACTGTCCCAGCTGTACCTGTTCTGTGAATAGCTGGGTATCTTAAATTTCCCTTCTTGGACCCTGTCACAGACACTTGCCACTAAACTCTATTAAACATCTGGTTTAACATTATTCTATTCTTCTCTCAGGACTTTTCCAAGTTCACTGAGGTTTTTGGTCAGTCCAATTTTTCCACTGGCAGTTTTCAAGGATATCCCAGGGTGGTTCCTTTGGATCTGAATCAAGGCTCTGGGCTGGCCTTCTCAGGTTTTCGGCCTTTTAAGCCACCAACCACTGCCTCTCAAAAGTGGCAGTGCAACAAGTGGCATTATCATGCTGCAGACATTAGCATTCAACAGTATTGTAACATAATACAGTACGCCCAGTAAGGCAGAGCCCTTAATATAAAAGGTTGCCATTTCTGATTGAATAACACTGGCATTTTGTAATCTGACTATACCCAAATATAAACCCAGATTTAACTGAATTTTCTTTCCCTGTGTGGGGCTTTTTTTTTCTGTCCAAGCTCAACAGGCCCAAATATTCCCTGTGGGGAAAGAGATGGGGAAACTGCTAATTTAATATGCAATCGATAGTTTTCTTGCAGTTTGCCCAGAGAGGAAAATAAGCATATGCATTTGCTAAAAGTGCAAAAACTTTCTCAAGACTTATTTTTATCCCAAAATGAATACATCTGTACGTACGGGTTTTCTGTTGAAAAGAGACCAACTCTGGCACCAGTTTGACTTATTCCCATGCATGAATGCAGTGTTTTGTTCACCGAAGGTTGCTGAAGACTTCTGTTAGCTAGCTACGTTACTGCATTGTGGCCAAAGCAACTGATGACAATGACTCAGTCACCAGCAGACTGGGAATCAGGCATACCTAGGCTAAACTCCAGTTTGGACTACCAGCTCTCACTGTAATTCACCACAACGTTGGAGTATAAAAAAGAAATAAAATAACATAAGAATAAGATCACTTTATTTGCCATATACAATTCCTTGCATTAGGAATTTGTGTTTTCACAGACCCCAGCTTGCTTTCTATGAGATACACAAGCAGGGAGAGAAGCTGGGGGTCAGAGTACAGGGTCAGCTATTTATACGACACCCCTGGAGCAGCTGGGGTTAAGGGCCTTTGTCAGGGGCCCAATAGAGTAGGATTCCTTTGCCAGCCACAGGATTTGAACCGGCAACTTTCCAGCCACAAGCGCAGATCCTTAGCCACAGAGCCACCATAACTGCCCGGGAGAAAAGGAGAAGTTTGTTCCAGCAATTCTGCTTTCGTTACCGCTTTTCTAGTCTCTCCATATGTAAACAAATCTATAGTAACATTATATGTTATAGTGAACAAAAAAAAAACTGTTCCAATTTAGCTCACCACTCTCTGGATTTCTTTGTCCAGGAAAATGACTGCAACTGTCCCCCCTAAAAGAGTGAAATGTCCTTATTCATTCCTAAAACTGATGAGGGCTACAGTAATTCAAATTAAGAGGCAAACGAGCTGATTTGTTTATTTGTGGACTGACTAGTAAAGTGGTAGCAATTTTAAATGAAAGCAGAATTGCTGGAGCAAACTTCTTCTTTTCCCCCTTCTTTGACCATCTGCAGAATTGCTAAGCAGTGTCTTTTGGGGCAGATCTGCGCTCAGTAATAGGGAGGCAGCTACAGCATCAAGCATGCTCTCCAATCTGTAAGGTGCACTGAGGAAGAATTCAGCACTTTGGACAGCACCTAGAAGGAAACTGCCACCAGAACATCCCAAGGCAAGACCACGTTTCTCGGAGAAGCTAAGGAGACTATTGGTTTACTAAGCCTCTCAGTGGGCAGTCCAGTGCTGTGGAGATTAGTATTGCTGCCTCTCAGTACTGTGGCCCTGGGTTAAATTCCTGCGAGGAGCTGGGTGGAGCAGTGGCACTGTGGCTAAGGATCTGCGCCTGTGGTTGGAAGGTTACCAGTCCAAATCCTGTGGCCAACAGAGGAATCCTGCTCTGTTGGGCTCCTGAGCAAGGCCCTTAACGCCAACTGGTCCAGGGGTGCTATACAATGGCTGACCCTACGCTCTGACCCCCAGCTTCTCTATCTGTGTGTCACATGGAAAGCAAGCTGGGGTATGTGAAAAGACAAATTCCTAATGCAAGAAATATTATATGGCTAATAAAGTGATCTTATTAGTTTGTATGTTCTCCACATGTTCCTCTGTGTTTCCTCCAGGTGCTCCAGTTTCCTCTCACAGTCCAAAGACATACTGGTAGATTAATTGGCTTCTGGGACAATTGTCCCTGGTGTGAGTGTATATTTGTTTGTGTCTTTGATTGCCCTGTGATGGGCTGGCATCCTTTCCAGGGTGTATCCTGCCCTGTGCCCATTGCTTGCCAGCGCCCACCATGGGTATTGGGTTCTTAGTTTTCCACACTCACGTTACTTAAGTATCAGTTTCAGTAGGATGTATGGTAGGTTGTATTCATGTGGCGTATATACAGTATAGTGTGGATACATGTTTGCTATACTGTATATGACTGATAATCTGATTCTGGCAACTCTCCATTGTCACCATGTGAAGGCAGCATGTATACATGAACAGAAATACCCACAGTTTAGATATTCCAGACAGATCAGCAGATGTCACGTGAAATGGAAACCGAAAAAACCAACCCATTTCAGATAGGGACTACAGTTTTGAAATCCGAAAACAATAAACACAAACATAGCTCAATCTGTTTCACTGACTGATTTATGCAATGCACCAGCATAAGTCAAAAGCCGAGTTTTTATAGTTCTCGTTTAGTTATAGACAGTATATAAAGTTTTAGCACGCTAAAATATGATGTTTTAGAATTGCTTAGTACATAAGGTGCATTTCAAGAGCCATGGGTGCACTACTGATGAGATTAGCCATTTGAAGTCATATAGAAATAGCTGCCTGTAGGCGTGTTGTGTTTCATTTGAGCTCTGTATTCTGACTATGTGACTCAGCTAAATTAAATGGCTCTCCATTTGGACTAAAAGGATCTGTGTCATGTATTGAGAGGTTTCCTAATGGAACAGCAGCTCCAGGCACCCAACAATGTTGCATTATGTTTTGTAACTTGCACAGTAGGCAACGTCCTTTTTTTTTGCTTTGAGAAAGAAATGTACTTGCTTTGGAAAGAAATATACTATTTGCATAAGAGTGAATGTTAAAATAAGAAGAGATAAGTTGATTTATGGTTTTGAGCACTTAGGAAAACATGCAAATAGCTGCTCATTTTGGCCATCTTTTTCATCCACTTTTACAATTGTGAAATGTTAGTGTTTAGCCTCCTCACTTCGGTGCTGTTTTATAGACCTCTAGACCTCTGTTATACATATATGCTATTTATAACATAGGGACTGGCTACTTTAGGATCAGGCACATTTCTGAGAAACATTTTATACATCACATAGTATTGTCGCTTGTAAGGCACTCAAATGCTCTATAGGTTTTCCAGTGAAGTATTATATTAGCAGGTAGCAATAGCGCGCAAAGATTTGGTTCTTTAAGAGGTGTTCTAAATGCATAGCTGCCAAACAAAATATAAAACACAGAGCTTTTCTTTAAAAATAGATTGTTCATGGGCTGACCAATACCACCATGGTTCTTATTGTTGTCTTGTAATGCTGGGGCCCTGGGTTCAATTCTTTGTCTTGAGGTGTGATCTGCATGGAGTTTGTATGTTCTACCTGTGTTGGCGTGGATTTCCTCCGGGTGCTCCAGTTTATTCTCCCAGAGACCAAACACATAATTGTAGGTCAATTGGGTTCTGAGAAAATCACCCTGCTGTGAGTGTGTGTGTCTGTGTCCTGCGATGTCCTGCGTCCAGAGTGTATCCCACCTTCCAACCCCCAGTGCTTGCTGGGATAGGCTCTGGCTCCCCCGCGTGTGTCCCTGTATTGATATAAAACTGAGGTCCTGACCTCCCTGGTAATTAAAAAACCCAGGGCCTTTCTTGAAATTAGAAAGGGTGTTGACTTATGTTTCCTGGCCAAATTTCTGCTTGGACTTGACCAATCATGGCCTCCTAATAATCACCATCTCGATGAGTTACGTCATGAGTTCTCCTCCCCACTGAGAGCTGGTGTGTGGTGAGCGTGCTGGCGCACTCTGGCTGCCGTCGCATCATCCAGGTGGGGCTACACATTGGTGGCAGTAGTGGGATTCCCCATTACCTGTAAAGCTCTTTGAGTGGAGTGTCTAGGAAAGTGCTTCATAAGGGATGATACTGATTATTATCATCCTCAGCTAGAAAACAGGCGGATGGATGGATATAGGTTTGCTCTCTAAGAAGGAATCTGTTCTCTTCCCCAGGTAGCCGGGAGGCCGCATTCACGTACGCGATCACAGCAGCAGGAGTAGCCCATGCTGTGACCGCGGCCTGCAGTCAGGGCAACCTCAGCAACTGCGGCTGCGACCGGGAGAAGCAAGGCTACTACAACCAGGAAGAGGGCTGGAAATGGGGCGGTTGCTCAGCAGACATCAAATATGGCATTGAGTTCTCCCGAAGGTTCGTAGATGCCCGCGAGATCAAAAAAAACGCAAGGAGGCTGATGAACCTACATAACAATGAGGCAGGAAGAAAGGTAACCAAAACTGATCAAAAGCAATGATAACAAAGGCAAAGCAATGCTCGATTTCTTATGCATCTGTGGCGCCGAATACCGATGAATGAACATGTTTTTCTGTCTGCCTGTGTTTTTAGACGGGAGGTGGAATTTCAAATGCTCTCTCAAAGGCCGGGGCACTTTTTGAATGCAAAGAAGTTCACTTCCCACCCTTCCTCACCATCCACTTTCACAAAAGCAGACAAAAACTGAACATCTTTAGCATCTTTAGAAACAAAATCGCGTCAACATTCGCAAGCAGAATAAAAAATTGCAACTCTGGTAAAGTGGGAGACCCATTAATGTGCTGACTTCTGTGTCTGATAGCAATGGCTCAATGTAGAGATACAGTATTTTTAATGGGCTGATAATAAATTGGATTTATTGCCTACTTCTCTGTCTTTAGAAAAACTGACCGTGACATTGCTACCTTCCAGTGCAACATGTGATCAATTCGAGTCCTTTTTGCTGGTGGATGCAATAGTAGAAACACAAATCAGCATATACTTTAAAATGTACCCCAGTAACATCAAATGAATACAGTTATTTTCCATCAGAGGTTGATTACAACTGTCCAAGTGTAATGTTAACTCTTCCAATAAATCTTGTAGACTAAAAACCTGATGGCCATGTCAGAAATTCAGAGTAAGAAATTGCAAAAACCTCAATACAGTTACTAGCTGTGCATGTCCGTTGGCTTGTGAGGTTTATGCATGGAGACGCTTATCTAATGCAATTTGGGCCCTGTTTCATTGCATTGGCTGGGGAACACTACCATATTGCATTCGTAAGTCATGCTGATGTAGATTCAAATAGTTTTTTCTTCTGAAAAAAGACTACACTTACAGTAGGTTTCTTGGATGCAAAAATGTAGTTTTCTTGCACCATCTGACCTTGGTCAACTGTAGTACCCCCTCCTTCCCCCTTAACACCTCCAATTAATGTGCTCTGTATCACTGACATGGGGCTGTTCTCTGTCTCCAAACGGTGACTGTGTAAAATCTCAAGCAGAGAAGCAACAGTTGTGATTACAACAGCTTGCTTCGTTTTTAGTTACTTCTTTATCACATGTGCAGCGAAAACACACCGCCAGTTGACATCGTGCCCGCTAGAATTTTTTTTTCGTTGGCATAGCTCCTGTTGGCTTTGTTTGTTTGTAATATTAGTCATCACAGAAAACAAAATAACACAGCCCATGAAGAAACAATCTTTGTCGGTGGAGCTGTGGTGTGACAAATGGATCTAATTAATAACTGAGGTTTTATCATGTGTGATGCAAAAACAAAGCAGTGGACCGCCAGCCAGTTGGACATTTGCCTGTCCCTTCAATTAAATTATGTAGTGTATTATAGAAATGGAATATGATTGTGGGGCTCCTTCTTTTATGTGAAATCAACAAGGTAACCATTATATTAGCCAGCAGCCATATCACACTGCAACTCACAACTGGCAGCCCCACTGAAGCTCAGCAGGTGTGAGCCTGGTCAGTACCTGGATGGGAGACCTCCTGGGAAAAACTAAGGTTGCTGCTGGAAGAGGTGTTAGTGGGGCCAGCGGGGGTTGCTCACCCTGTGGTCCATGTGTGTCCTAATGCCCCAGTATAGTGACGGGGACACTATACTGTAAACAGGTGCCATTCTTCAGACGAGATGTAAAACTGAGGTCCTGACTGTCTGTGGTCATTAAAAATCCCAGGGCATTTCTTGAAAAGAGTAGGGGTTTTACTCCGGCGTCCTGGCAAAATTTCCCATTGGCCCTTACCAATCCTGGCCTCCTAATAATCCCCCTCTATGAATTGGCTTCATTAGCTTGCTCTCCTCCCCACTGATAGCTGATGTGTGGTGACCGTTCTGGCGCACTATGGCTGCCATTGCATCATCCAGGTGGATGCTGCTGGAGGGGAGTCCCAATTACCTGTAATGCGCTTTGAGTGGAGTGTCAGAAAAGTGCTATAAAAGTGTAAGTAATTATTATTATTATTATTATTATTATTATTATATTGACTTGACAGCAGTTGAAGAAGGGCACAGGCTTGGGAGTTAATATTAATCTAGGTTTTATATAGTACCAGTGCTTTTGTCAGGGGTCCTTTCTCCTTTGTATTTCTTCCCTCTAAGCGAAGTCTTCAAAAACAAACAGCAGGGTAGGTTCCCCAAGATTGTCATCATTGTTTGTCAGATGTCAATTACCACACAACTGGCAGAAAGAAAACTGGATACACGCAGCTCTCCAACAACCCTGATCGAGCTGAGCTTCCTCCTGGTGTTGCTCCAGCAGTAATCACCTGTGAGAATATCAAACTCCTAAGAAAGGAAGATGAGCTGGTCCAAAAGATTTTCTTGAGTAAAGACAACTGAGTTTGTCAAACAGGTTGCACAGTACTGGTATGTTTGGGTGTATTGACATTTGACAGTGCAATATTTTAGGCCAGGTGATTTAAATCTGTAAGTCGTGGCGTGTTAGACAAGTGTGCTCTGTGAATAAAAGTGATTAAGTGAGAAGACGCACTTAACTGCATTTAGCATATATGTTCAGGTGGTTAGCTGCGTCAGCATGCAGAGTCTGCAAAGAAACAGGTTTATTCCATGCTGAAGAGCGAAAACACAACGTTACGGCTGTGAAGGCTTCTTCAGGTGTGATTTAGCATATATGGATTTATGGGTAAAACTAAAGAGAACTATGAAACTTTGTTCATTTACTAGTTAATTCAATTAAACCTTGATTAAATAATTGTTAAAACCTGGACAATATGTTTGGAACCATAATTGTATTGATGAGAGATCAAGTTTATGTGGCTGTTTGAAAATTTCTATTTTATGAAATATTGTGTAATATTTATGGCATACTTGCTACTTTGTGCATTTTTCTTCCTTAATTTTCAGAAGGCTTGACTTCCAATAGGTTAGATCTCGTAATGCCAGATCAACTCTCTCACCAATGAGCTGTCTTAGCACTCATGCAACAGACAGGGTCGCTCAGTCAGGAATGACTGTGGCGACCCAGCTGTGAAATAGTAATCACACCAGGACCATCACCAATAGTGCTAATCTGGTTAACCAATCAGTTACCATAACAACAAGCTATGGAAGACAGTCAAGGCAACCTACTCATCTTTAATCTTCTCCGGCTATTTAAGACCCACCTCTGCATTCTCTGTCTCCGTCTTAGCTCTTACATTCCATGTTTTGACTGTATTTGTTTGACTGCGTTTTTTTAGATCTTCCCAGCACCTCGTTTTTCTCGCTTAGACTTCGGCTTCGGCAGATTCAGTTGTGAGTTTTCCTTTGGTACGGCATTCCAGAGGTTTTGACCTGGTGTCACGCCCACTACACTACTTAATTTTCAGAAGGCTTGACTTCCAATAGGTTAGATCTCGTAATGCCAGATCAACTCTCTCACCAATGAGCTGTCTTAGCACTCATGCAACAGACAGGGTCGCTCAGTCAGGAATGACCAATTAATACAATTCCACTAAAAACAATTAACGTCAACGTCTAAAATCTGCATACTTTATTTTTCTGTGATAAGTGATAAGTGATAAGCTTTAGGAGTATGGAACAAGCCACCCGACCATTTTCGTTCAAGAAACAGATGGATGAGGTTCTTAGATAAGTTACTTACAATCAGTAACAAACAGGTTAAATGGGTCAAATGGCCTGCTGTTGCTTGCAAACTTGTTTTCATGTAATTGGTCTCTTGTTTCTTTCCTTCGGATTTCACTTTCCTTATATACTTGCGACTTAAATGGATTTAAAATCTCACCCTCTGCAACAGATCATGTCTTCTGGAAAGCATTTCTATAATGCATCTCTTGTCAGGATTACGAATGTCGCAAAGATTTCAGAGTGTGATTTGATTGGACTTCATAATACACTGAATGGATGTTGTCTTCACTTCATTCAAAGCTAGTGTAGGTCTTAAAGCCCATTGATGAGTTATTTTAAACTCTTAAACTGTTGATAACAGGTGGGTAGAAGGAGAATGTGTTTCTTTCATATTTTATTGGACAGACGTAGTTCCAGTAAATTTCTAAAGACCAAGCTTGTTTTTTTTTTTGGCTGTGGCTGCATGATGTTCTGTATAGATAATATTTTGAGAATGAGCACAAATTCTAGAGTCCATTCCACAAGTGCAACATTAACATTCAAACACATATGAAGTCAATTTGTAACTTTCATCTACAGGATACAAGTACATTTGATGTGAGTGAACTCAATTAGAAAATTGACATTGTATTTTTTAACTAATTGGAAGCAGACAAAAGACTGGACACCACATAAGTAAACTTTTCCAACTATTTATCAATTGGTTTAGATTTAGTCAATGGCTGTGGTCTGTGCAAAACTTTTTTTGGGGGAAATTTTCTTCCTCTAAGTACACCCAAAGTAGGGTGCCAGCTTTTTCTGCTGCATTTTTAGTTTTCTCTTACAGCTCTTTGGACATTTGGCAAATGAGAGTTTCCGTTTGTATTTAAAACAAAGGCTTTACAAAAATGGAATGGTTGGACTATATTCATCAATTACATTGGACAACTTTTCTTAAAAAATCATGACCACTTCTGGCAGTGTTTGGTGCCAAGATTATAAGGGTACTGGAAACTTTTCTTGCTGACACAATTAAAATTCTTACACAAGAAACTGAACTCATATTCTGTATAGACATTAACAGGCATAATCACTACATGGTGGTATTTCTGTTTAAATGCGACAGGAACAGCATGAAAACTATTAATTAAATTGACTTATTTCCTTGATGTGACACTAGTGATTGGTCTTGCCTGAGGGACGAATGCTGCAGTATCCCACATTTTGATGTAGATTTAGATTAAACCACTCTTGGCGCTAAAATATCCAAAAGTAATCCAAAAAGGAGCTGAGCTACCCATGAATTTTGTGGACTGATTACTCCATGGAATTATAGTAATTTTAGCCAATGACAAAGGTGGGATAGAAAGTAATCCATGTACACCTGCAGGCCCTATAGGAATGGCTCAATTCTCCCGGGTTCTCCTCGTTCAACCACTGCAGTTTCCAAATGGGCATGATCTGGAACAGAGGGACCACACCTGCCTCTGTCATACAGTATTACACTTAGTGGTGCTTTGACAAGTGTCTCTAACGATACGTTCTGCCACGAAAAACTTTGTTGTACTTAAGTAATTTAATGGTACTCTGTGGCGACCCAGCTGTCTGAAATAGTAATCACACCAGGACCATCACCAATAGTGCTAATCTGGTTAACCAATCAGTTACCATAACAACAAGCTATGGAAGACAGTCAAGGCAACCTACTCATCTTTAATCTTCTCTGGCTATTTAAGACCCACCTCTGCATTCTCTGTCTCCGTCTTAGCTCTTACATTCCATGTTTTGACTGTATTTGTTTAACTGCGTTTTTTTAGATCTTACCAGCACCTTGTTTTTCTCGCTTAGACCTAGGCTTCGTCGGATTCGGTTGTGAGTTTTCCTTTGGTACGGTATTCCAGAGGTTTTGACCTGGTGTCACGCCCACTACACCTAGAGGGCGCTCCATTTTCTTTCTGCTCCTAGTTCTCTGTGATTAATCATGTCCTTCTGGTGTGTCTTGTTGTGTAGCCTATTTATTTCCTGCTTCTGCTCTGCCACTCACTCAGCATTGATGTTCAGTTGCCCTGAGACCCGCCTAGCACCAGGTCATTCCTGTCCTTGGCCTGTGGGCATTGGCTTCTTTACGGCATCTCCTGAACAGCTGAGGCCGGGCTAACCCCTGTCTCAGCGCTACCCATAGGGTCGTTATCGCTCTCCTGCCATTCCACGGTTCGTCCTTTCGGGCATACGTGACACCTGGGCCTGTTCCTGGTCTTTGACATTGGATTGTGTTTTTTTTTGCCTGGCTGGTTGTGCTTGATTTGAGTCTTCAGCCACAGACCGCTTCACCTGAACAGTGAGTGCAACAGGTGTGACAGAGATCCACCATTCAGCAGTAGTCTTGTTCTGGGCAGAGTGGGACCTGCAGTGTGAAATATGTCATTGCCTGACAGCAGTGCCTATTGTGGAAGAGAAAACTTACAGACTTCATCCTTCTTTTTATGGTCCGAAGGTCCGGATTATCCCTAGCAATTCCAGATTTTGGAATGTGCCAAAAGAAAAATAATAATTGGTTATCCTAAAACCTTGTAGAGCAAAGAAGTTCATGAAAACTCGCGAGTTCTATGCTAATTCCCTGCAAAAAAATATTTTATACTGTATGTGCCTCAGCACTGGTCTTCACTACTGTATAAGTCATGCCTTTTGTTAAAACTTAAAATCAGTCTGAAATGTCCTGTATTCCAGATGTGAATATTTGATGGATATCTACAAACTATGTCACAGATTTATTTATAGTTTAGATATAATGAAATACATTTATGGTTATTTAAGATGTATTTATTTTTCAGGATGAGTGATTTGGCCTCTAGGAAGGTAGGGAAAATTACAGACCTGAATTTGACCAATAAGCATGTATTTGTTACTGTGTATGACATAAAGCTGGCATAAATATCTTTTCGGGAATCTCAAATATTTTGAATATGGTTTTTTGTCCACTTCACAGAAAATAGTTAAACTGTTAGGCTACCATATATTAATATTGGAAATTCATTGCTGAGTGATAGCCTTAAAAAAAAGTGCTTACAACTGTTTTTTTAATCTTTTTTAGTCAGTCTTTGCTTTAATTGTATTTCATTTTTTTCAGTTTTTGGATCTGAGATGTGCTATCTAAAAGTAATCACTTCAGCTCAAGAACTCATTTTCAATCTGTTCTTGCACGACAATCAATCAAATACCCTTTTTGCAAAAGTTATGCAGAGCTGCATTATAATTCAACTTAAAATCCCAGGTCTGAGATATTCAATTAAAATACATCAGGCAGGACTCAAAACTTCCAACAAATAATAGCTACTTATTTTTGTGTTGTACATGATACGCTGTTTTCAGAATAGGATAGTAAAGAACCAAGTGTTCCTGAGATTCAGAAGACATAAAGCTACATTCAAGAAAAAAATATTTTCAAGGAAATTAAATCAATTTAACAGCCATTGCAAATAGCATCTCATCAATGCATAATAAGCAAAAACAAAATAAAGTATTTTAAACCTTACACCATTACTTTTGCTTATATCATGCAATTAATCTGTAAGATTCTCTTTGTATAAGGTTTAAAGTATTAATACTGCTATTTATTCAATAGTTTGCAATCCCCAGTCCCATTGCCTAGTATACAAAGTAAAATTCCATGCTTGAAATTAAGTCACATTTTCGTTTCAGTACATCTTGAATCAAATCATAGTTAATGCATTAACACGTATTGTTAAATCAACTGCAAATATCCAAATCAATTGAGAGACATCTGCAATTCTGTTGAAGATATCCTGATATGTTTTAGAGATTTCTAGACCTCTTTTAATTCACTTTCAATTACAATTTCAGATAACTTTAAGAAATTTCAGAAAACTTTAAGCCATTTTAAAATATTATAATACAATCTCCTATTCATTTTAAGACGTCTCAAATTCCCTTTGAAATATCCTGAAATAACCTCCCATGCAAATGCCTGGCATTTGATCTAATAAGGAATTACTTGGAGATGGCTGTTTATTTTAGGATATCTACATTTCAGATTTATTTGGAGATTAATCCAAAATCCTGCTTCTTCATTTTAAGATGAATTTCGCCTTAAAATGAGTCCTATATAATGAGATATCCCAATATATTTTAGGAATAAAGATATTTAGGAATGATTTAGAGATAGCTCTAAAGATATTGTGAAAACCAATGCACAGTGTAGGTGATAATTTGGCTACTTCTATGAAATCTGTGGAAGTTAACATTTCAATCACCTGAACCATTTTCTAACTAAATAAGGACACACTCTTTATTATAATGGTATCCCTGCTGAGTTATGATCCTAAAAGCATGAAGCAATAGAAAGAAATATGACCATAGAAAAGTTGGACAATAGCCCATCCATCCATCTTGTTACTGGGTCATCCAGTACAGGGTCATGGGGGTGACAGAGCCTATCTCAGCAAGCAATGAGCACATGGGGAGACACACCGTAGACGGGATGCCAATCCATCGCAGGGCACACATACACACAGAAGCACCCCCACACCAGGCCTACTTTTTTCCAGAATCCAATTAACCCACCAGCATGACTTTGGACTATGGGAGGAACACCCAGAGGAACCCCCACCCCCAACACACACACACACACACACACACACAGGGAGAACGTGCAAACACCACACAGATAGCACCCTAGGTTCAGAACTGAACCCAGGGCTCCAGTGTTATGAGGCAGCAATGCTAACCACCTTGCCAACCCGTGAACAATTGATTTTTTTCACGAAAATCCCCAAGACCTTTTCGATTTGTTTCCAGAGCGCTCATATGCTAGCCAGGCCTTCTTAAAGAACCCCCACTCTGGACGCCTAACCACTACGCCACCCTGTGGCCCTCACACAGCAGTCTTGTCTGATGCCTCTCTGCTCTTGCAGATCCTGGAGGAGAGGATGAAGCTGGAGTGCAAGTGCCACGGCGTCTCGGGATCCTGCACCACCAAGACGTGCTGGATGACCCTCCCCAAGTTCCGGGAGATCGGCTACATCCTGAAGGAGAAGTACAACGAGGCCGTGCACGTGGAGGTCGTGCGGGCCAGCCGCCTCCGCCAGCCCACCTTCCTGAAGGTGAAGAAGACACAGAGCTACCGCAAGCCCATGGAAACGGACCTGGTGTACATCGAGCGGTCGCCCAACTACTGCGAGGAGGACACCGCCACCGGCAGCGCGGGCACCCAGGGGAGGCTGTGCAACCGCACCTCCCTGCACACGGATGGCTGCGACCTGATGTGTTGCGGCCGGGGCTACAACACGCACCAGTATACCAAAGTGTCCAAGTGCAGCTGCAAATTCCAGTGGTGCTGCTTCGTCAAGTGTAACACGTGCAGCACGAGGACGGAGGTCTTTACTTGCAAATGAGGGCGGGGAGAGGACTGTGGGAGTTGATTGGCCGGTGGGAGGGGGGGGGCAAGGGGCTGAGGGGGGGGGGAGAGAACAACAAAGCGAAAACAGAAGAAAAAAAAGCACCGACTCTGGAGCGACTAAGAGAAAACGACGCTGAGTGGAACAGAACATTTCATCTGTTTGTGGCAACATTTTGCACATTCATCTATTTACAGAAAAAAAAGTCAAATAAGGCTGCGGTAGTCCAGTTCAAGAATGACGTATTTTATGCACTGATGTGTCCAAACCGACTTTAATTAAGGATGTAGGATACAGGTAGTGCTTGATGGGAAGCGTACAGTGCGCTTTGGTATTTGTAGTTCTTTACCCAGGTGGGAAAGGAAACAGGAAGTGACTCCAACTCCCAGGAAGTAAAGCAACTTGACGATGACTCCATATTTTATAGCGCAACTAACTGTAATGATTCCCTAATGTTATGCTCAATCTTCTAGTCTAACAAATGTCCTTAAGGTTTGTTGGGGAGAGAAAAAATTGACTTAAATGCACAAACTGGAACCTTTTCTGAGCTATGTCGAAGTGAAGAACGCTGCGTTAGTTTAGTGCCTCTGGAAGCACTGAAGGCTGAAATTTGTCTGAATGGGAAATAGTCTATAAGCCTTCTGCCTTGAACTGGAGAATGGCAAAATGTTAGTTGTCCAGTCACACTGGAACCGTTTGTTTGAACACTGAAAATAAATTGTTTATTTATGTTATAGTATCTTTAAGCAAAGCACTAACGGGTAGAAATGTCTTATTTTGTACTAAGTGTAAAAAAAAAGAAAAAAAAATCTTTTTAGAAACTCTTGACTGAAGGTGCATCTTTTGGAAACCCCAACATTTTCATTACTACTGATTTAAAAAAAAAATATTCACAAGCAGAAAGAAATGTAAATGACAGAAACAAAACAGCTAAATGTAAGCTAATGAGTTTTAATACCATTTTGAGGGAGCAGTTGTTAAGAATCACACAGGCAAAAGCAATTTTGCCTGGTGTCACTCTATGGTTTCAAACACTGTCAGAAATAAGAAAACGCCTATTTTCCTGCCTTTCATTAAATGTTAAATCAGCATGTTGTTGGATGTCTTGCGGAGTGCTGCACTGATTGATTTATTTTTATTTTTATTCAGCTCCAGCACAAATGAAATAAATCTAAATTTAACTGATTTCTGCAATTCACTGAGGTTGAAAATGCATGCCAGTCAGAAATTAGGTTCCATACATTTGCCATTCTTGTTTTTCACAGAATTTGCCCAATTCTGAATTGGACTGCTTCCAGTCCGATTGGCCGTTTCTGCAAATCTGGCATTCCGTCACTGGCTGTTGTGTTATTGCTTTTGCTCCTAGAATCCTGCTTGCTTTTGCCTTCTTTCCTGTTTTCCAGACTACAGGTAGACCTGGGTGACTTGACAAAGACATTTCTCATCAAAAGAAAACTTAAGGTGTTACCATACTGTTTGTGGTCCCTACCTAAGACTTACAATACATTACTCAGATTAAAACTGGATTACGTCTGTGCTAATGCATAAAAAACATGCATCTCTTGTACTTCAACCAGTGTCTGAAGTCAAATTTCAAAAGAATATACTGTATATGGTACTGTATACATACACATAACATGCTGGAATTTTGGCTCTTGATCTAAATTAAATGTAAAACATGAACAGATCGTGGCTATTACAAAATTACTTAACCGTTCACCTAATTTAGAACTTTAATTTGTCGAAATGAGTAGGGTTCACACAGGACGTTCTAATGTAACTTGTAATACAACTGATCCTAGGCACCAAGCACAAAAGGGAAGACACAAACCATATCAGTATCTGGAAGTGTAGCTTTGTGTATTGTGCAGGGCCCAAATATCTGGATATTTACACCATGTGCAGGGAATTGGGAAACTCGACAGTTCTGTTTCTCCAAAAGGCACTCATGTGTGTGACAAGGGGTTTTGCATGTATTTAGTTTCAACTGTAACAAACTAATGTAATTTTCAGGGATCACAAAACCCTAAATCATGCTGTTTCCATGAATTCCAGAAATGGGAATTTGAGAATTTAACATCAATGAAGTTAATGTATAAGGAATCAAATATATATGTGACTACATTTTACATTTAATTAAATATTATATTAATTTTATATTTATATTATATTTACAACCAAACTAATGTCAGTAAACAAGTGACAATAAACAATTCATGTTCATTTTGATCAAAGATGTTTTCGTTCAAGACTGAGCAAGAATATCGTTGTTTTGGCCAGAGTATAGATTCGACAAAGGACCACCACATAAAGCACAGGTTTAGGAAATTCAGTTTTCTGTGGTCAAACAAATTTATTCGGTGGCTTGAAATTTTGTTCCTCTAGATCGACACTGCTTATAACATTATAATGCTAAGACTAGCAGCTAGAAATGATAGACGATACTTGTTATAAATGAAAACAGATGTGCTCTCATCAGACAAATGAAGTTCACTATAAAGTAACTGTATCATAGTAGGGGTAGAAACAGAGTTTCTGAATTGCCAGAGTGCAGAATTGCACCCAAATATTTCTGTCATGAGGCTTTTAAATCTGTGTCATTCCGATACTGTATATCCCTTAGAGCTGCCTCACAAAATGCAGGACACCGTACTGAAAAACGAACATGGTACAATCAGAATCAAAATCCCAGAGTAGGTCTATAGATAGTGCTTGCTGACTTGGAAACTTTAAGGATTTTACTCAATTGAATAACAGACTTACATTATACAGAATATACGTATGGTGTAAATAGAATAGAATATTGTCTTTTCAAGTTCAGTACATGGCCCCTCGTTGTGAAGTACAACATATTTCATTATTCTGATTACAACTAACAAACCAAAATAATTGCAATAGGTCTACTTGCTGCAACTAATAGAAAATTCACCAGAGTATATTCAAAGGGAACTGCAGGCACAATTTCACAGATCAGTTATTAAATCCTGGTAATAAAATAAATTCACTGAAGTAACACAAAAATTTTTTTTACAAATTTCAAACTGAGCACACAATCGTGAACTTCGTGAAAGTCGCTATGTTGTCGCAAATTCAAGTTCCCATGACGTACGAACGAACTACGCTAAGTACTGTACAGGTTGTGCAGCAGATATTTTACTGCAGAAAGTTTCCGACGTGTTCAGCATGCAGAGTTCATAAGTAAGTTCCATTAATAGGCAAAACCGTCTCGAAGTCAAGAGCCACATTTCTATTGCATTAAAAGACATTTATTCACAAGCCTGCTTCACCTCACCGGACGTTTTGTTGCCTCATTCTGAATCGCAGAATGTGGCGCTGCGCGTACTTGGAAATTTTCATTTATTTTCTGATGTAAATTAGAGGATTTATGAGTTACTGTGTACATTGTACTTTTATTGTAGTTTGAAATGCACTCAGCAATGCTGATTCTTTCTAACCCTGAAATATAAAAATAGCATTGCAGCTCCCCTTTAATCCAAAGACTGGGTTCAGACAACCTGGACACCATAAAACAGAGTCTGCTCAGAGTCTGAAAGCAATAATTACTATATCTAGGTTAAACTGGTTTTGACCTGCTACATCCTGACAATAAAATAGTCAAAAGTTTAAAACAAGGAAGAATAATCAGCATCACTATCAATATTTGTTTTTCTTTTTTAAATATGTCTTATTAATAACTTCACCTTCAGTAATGAGAATACTGATCAGACTAAGCTCAGCTGTTCAGTTAGAATTTAACCTGGAGGATCCATGGAAATTAGGGCTATACACTACTATAATAAAAGTAAAGAATAAATAATAAATTTAAATTTAGGCAAAGGTGATGCAGTTCTTTTTCAAGTAGTCAAGATTCTTA